TGCTGTGTGCAATTCAACACCATGTCTCAGGATAGACCTGTTATCGTTCTGTCTTCATCCTACAGGTCTCGTGTTGTATCTGACGTAGCTCCTTGTCTCTTGACGCTGGTTTCACTAATATGGCTGAGCATCTAGAATGACTTACTGCTCCCGTAGCAGGATAACTGGTTTTAGGGCAATCCCCCATTTTGGTGATGACTTTCCCAAGAAGACAAACTTTTGACAGTATGACGCCAGCTAAGGTCAGCCCCATGCACATAAACAAACTCGTGGGCACATGAATATGCTAGTGATTAGATCAGCTGGCAGGATGTCCCAGATTTGTCAGAGTTCTCGTTTCCCTGCATCTCAACAGAGGTTAAGAGTGCAAAGTTTGCATTGCAGCCACAATAGTCACTTTAAGGGGAGATGCAACATCTATAAATAAAACATAATTGTCCTTTAAATAGTTTAGCTTAGCTTGATTGCTCTCATTATGTCACTAACATTATAACAATAACAACTTGACCAACTGGAGCAACTGCAAGAGTTGCAGAGTACATTTCAAGCAGTTCAGCAAGCACATCCTCAAGCAAAACACGGTGCAGGGAGTGTAAACGGTTAATTCAAAATCCTTTAGCTCTGACTGGGATGTCTGACAGAATACATATGTTACTTTTTGAGCCTCTTTAGCCCGCTGAGCTTTATCCAGTGTCTGCGTCGCTCTCCTCTGTGCTCTTTTCCCTCCTTCTTCAAAGGCTACTTGTGGTCTTTCATTGAAGAGGCTACAGCTGTTTCAAGTGCTATGTTTTCAATAGCTCCACCATCTGCTATTTCATGAATCTTCATGCTGTTATTGGAAAGTAAGGCGGCCCTCTTCCTGTTATGATTAAGACAGTTACATCGGGAGAAGCGACTTTTATTTTGGCCTGAGCACAGTCTCCCTGGAGGTCTCTCCAGGCTGTGGGCTGTGACCATTCAGCTCTAACAAATCAAATGTTTTAGGTTAGTGACTAAAAGCCATTGGGATCAGGGTATTACAGCCCTGCTCTTTTTTTGTTGTTGCTTTATTTCACTCCTACTACTGCTGTGGATAAAGCATGAAACCAAAACCAAGCCAAAAATTCATTTGACATAATACATATAAAAAGAGATTATCTTATTATGGCCAGCTGAGATTCACTATTTTACCACTCATAGGAAATAAATTTAATTTTGTTTTGTGTTTTCCTTCACTGATAGCAGCTTAAAACATTGTTTATTAGGTACGAAAAAGTGATTTTTCTTGAAGGGTGAGTTGTCTTTTTGTTTCATTTAATTTACCAAAGCCTCAGAGATGAGGGAAAAAATGCCATACTGATTCAATTTAGTCTATCTGCACTTCTTTAATTTACTCTTCTATTAATAAATTACCATAATTTAAGATTGCAGGACGCTGTATATGACATAATGATACCTCCAAGAACTAATGTCGTGGAATAACAGACATCTACTGAAAGGCGGTTCGCAGGTGTTGGGGAATAAAGTATGAAAAGACGTCTGTAGCTACAGAGGGAGTGTTGTGAAGTATGGATAGATAACACATCACCCATATGGAAAAGATATATATAAATCTTATAAAGTTTGTATCTGTCTTGTGTGAAACTTGTATGAAAAGCATACAAGAGTGAAAACAGATATAAGATCCGTTGAAAAATTATATAATGAAACTTGTATGTTTTGGATACTTACTAAAACAATATATGAAAGTATTGAGTAAGTGGCCACTTTCATGGGTAAATCATATAAGCCTTATATGATTCATTATATGAAGCAAGCCAAATCTGATGCGAGTCTTTTATAAGTTTTTTCTGTTTCTTTTCCATATGGGCAATGAAAGACCACCCGTGATGCTAGTTGAGTCAGCTGGAGCTGCAGAGTTAAACAGAGTTAGGTGCATTGTGGGTAACATGGGCATAGGGAGTTCTGCAAACAGACTGTATTTTAAAGATGGATGTACCTACAATTATGTGGCTTGTTAGATTGTGTACTTGCAATTTAAAGTTTCGTCTGTCATCAGTTGAGGACAATATCTGGACAGTGCATCGGTGCAAAGTGCATCTATTGTATGTATGGATGCATTGTACAGTCGTATATACCTGCTCGTTATTAGAGAAAAATACAAATACTAGAATTTTACTCAAAATAACTAAAACACAGACTTCTTGGGCTGTAGAATTAATTACACTATAAGTCATGCTAGTTGTCTGATGTTTTCTTTAAAAATGTTCCTCTTAACCAGCATTGAGTGGTCCAATTCAGATGACCCCATATGTGTAGGATTTTTGCAGTAGTAAAAAGAAAGAGCTCTCTTTCAAGAGAAGAAAGCCTCAGATTGGGACAACCACCTGCTGTGACTGTTTGGATGAAGGGAAAGAGAAGAGAGTAAAAGAGATTATGCCAAAACATTCATTATGGGAGAGAGAAGGCAAATGCTCGAGCCTACAGCACCATAACTGAATGATAGTTCAGAGTCACCTGATCCAGCCTTAACTATAAGCTTTATCAAAAAAAGGAAGTTTTAAACTCAATCCTAAAGGATTTATGTTTCCAGAATTAAAATGGAGAGCTAGCTCCGCAGGAGAGGTGCCTGATAGCTGAAGGCTCCGCCTCCCATTATATGAGACAGTATTGGTGTCCACCTATGAGTCAAAGTGGACTCTTCCCTAATAACGAAAACTTTGAGTGTTTAAGAGTTTAACTGAGCGAGTCATACAAAATCACCCCCTGAAATAGCCATACGGATGCAAATATTTTATTTTATTTTGTTATTTGGTTTAATTATTTTATTATCATAAACATATTAGTTTGATTCCTGAATTCGGGCAATTCAAAAGGGAGTCTGTGGAGAATGACTAAGCAGCAAGGGCTGAAAAATTAAATCATAGCAAAACTGCTACAAGCTGCAATTCCACTTGAGGTTGGCTTTAAAACCAGTGTTAAAATGCCAAACTCAACACCAATAAAAACCACCCTCACAGCTCGGTAAATAAACAATTCTTGCCATTATGGAAAGTTTGTCCCTTTATAACAATACTATGGTAGTGAACTTTCATCTTCTTAGATGCTGGTAAGCTTTAAGGTTTGGGAGCATTTGATCGATGGTAGCTGTTTTCTAGCTATCATCTATCATCTGAAAATTCAGTTCACTCCATGTTTAAGCGGTTGGTTCCTTCTGGAGGAGGTGTATTGAGGTTATGAGACAAATTGTGGTGTGTTATAGATCATCCAAGCCATTTGAGCTCACGTTTGGATGAGTGACTAGCTTACAAAAGCTTGCTAACATTAGCATTAGCTGAGTTAGCACTCATATATTAATCTGCCATAGCCAGTGTATGCTGTAGAGACTAAAATTATTCTAAATACGAGGCTGTAACCATGGTTATTTTTGCTGTGAAGTAAGGTATTATAGCTTTGGAGTCTATGAGGATTTACTCAAGTTTTTGGCATGGTCACATTTGCTTTAGTTTTTAGGTTGCGTGGTTGCCTGTTAGTTTTGCCAATGAGTGCAACAGCATTAGAAGGTACAAAAAGAAGCAATGGGGAGTTTATTACAACGTCTACTACTGATTATAATAATCACATTATACGCTGCTCAAAAAAACAAGCAGAGGGGCTTATTAATCAGTTTCAGCTACTTTGGCATTAAGGAAATTAACAACAGTTGTTGTAGAGGGGCAACATTGAGACAACCCTCAAAACAAGCATTGTTTTACATGTGGAGGCCACTGACATTTTTTCCTCACTGTTTTTTCACTAGTTTTGCATTTGACTAGGGTCAGCGTCACTGCTAGTGGTAGTACTATTCCTCGGCATGACA